GAGACTTCACGAATTCGGTCAGGGAAAGATTGCAAGCTCCGGACAAGAACCAGGTGAACAGCAGTCTTCTTTGAGCCATATCAGATGCTCATGAGTGCCATCCCCGAATACTCTTTTGATTCAGGCTGTTTTGCCACTTAAAGATCAAGCCGCAAACTGCTAGGTCCAGATGTTGGCCAGCTACTGCTGATGTACATTAGCGGTCCCCGTTTGAACGGCTTTTCCTGGCTAGCTGTGCAGGTCTGGGTCCGGCTTTTTGCTCCTCATCGACAATGAGTCCATTGACTGGGCGAAGGCAAAAGCGCCCAGCGCCGTGGAGGCCAGCGATGGGATTGGTTCGAGCCGATGGGACGTTCCCAACGTGCTGCGTAGAAACTTTTGCTTTTGGGAAGGTGTGACAAGGAGGATTTCCATGTTGGATGGTTGCAAAGGGAGTGCCCCCCTTTTCTTTATGATTCGTGGAAATCCCTTTCGAACCTGCGATGAACGAAAGATGTGGATTGACCTCGATACCTTTTCGCTTCGTGATTGCGCATGTCAAGGATCTCCTCGTCGGGCTCCATTGGTGAAAGCAGTGCAGATGTGTCTGTTTGAATTTGTCAAACAACCAAGGATTGGTTTAGGGGTGGGCGCCCTATGGGGGTTGAGGTCAAAGATCTCCCTGTGGCCTTGTGGTCAAAACAACCTCCTGATCCCCGCTGCCCAATCTTCCGCCTGTCATGCGAATCTATGTGTACATGCACACCATGTGGTTCATGAGGGTGGGGCCGTCAGCATAGGTATACGTATGTGTATGTATTCGTACGTTTAGACAACATATTTGTAGCGACACATGTACACAGACAGCCACCACCCATACACAACTTTCCTTGTCCAATGACAAACTGGCCACGTCCTGGAGGCGGCCACGAGGCTGTCGGCAGAAGGGCTCCTGGAGCCCAAGAGCCTCGCCAAGCTGGCGCAGCGCCAGGACGGCGCCGAAGCCCAAGCCACCGCCTTGGGTGTCAGTCAAACACTAGAAGCCGGCGAGGGACCCAAAAGTCCACACCCGAAAACTGAGCCCACCTGTGAGGGCTGGAGTCGCCCATGTTCTTTAATGTTCTACGTCAGAGTCGGTGGTGGTGGTGTGTGTGTGTGTGTGTGTGTGTGTGTGTGTGTGTGTGTGTGTGTGTGTGTGTGTGTGTGTGTGTGTGTGTGTGTGTGTGTGTGTGTGTGTGTGTGTGTGTGTGTGTGTGTGTGTGTGTGTGTGTGTGTGTGTGTGTGTGTGTGTGTGTGTGTGTGTGTGTGTGTGTGTGTGTGTGTGTGTGTGTGTGTTGTGTGTGTGTGTGTGTGTGTGTTTGTGTGTGTGTGTGTGTGCGCGTGTGTGTCTGTGTGTCTATGTGTGTCTGTGTGTGTCTGTGTGTGTGTGTGTGTCTGTGAGTGTGTCTGTGTGTGTGTGTGTCTGTGTGTGTGCGCGCGCGGGTGTTTGTGTGTCTGTGTGTCTGTTTGTCTGTGTGTTGTGTCTGTGTGTCTGTGTGTCTGTTTGTCTGTGTGTCTGTGTGTCTGTGTGTCTGTGTGTCTGTGTGTCTGTGTGTCTGTGTGTCTGTTTGTCTGTGTGTTGTGTCTGTGTGTCTGTGTGTCTGTGTGTCTGTGTGTCTGTGTGCCTGTGTGCCTGTGTGCCTGTGTGCCTGTGTGCCTGTGTGCCTGTGTGCCTGTGTGACTGTGTGTCTGTGTGTCTGTGTGTCTGTGTGTCTGTGTGTCTGTGTGTCTGTGTGTCTGTGTGTCTGTGTGTCTGTGTGTCTGTGTGTCTGTGTGTCTGTGTGTCTGTGTGTCTGTGTGTCTGTGTGTCTGTGTGTCTGTGTGTCTGTGTCTCTGTGTCTCCGTGTGTCTGTGTCTCTGTGTGTCTGTGTGTCTGTGTGTCTGTGTGTCTGAGTGTCTGTGTGTCTGTGTGTCTGTGTGTCTGTGTGTCTGTGTGTCTGTGTGTGTCTGTGTGTGTCTGTGTGTGTCTGTGTGTGTCTGTGTGTGTCTGTGTGTGTGTGTCTGTGCGTGTCTCTGGGTGTCTCTGTGTGTCTGTGTGTGTGAGTGTCTGTGTGTCTGTGTGTCTGTGTGTCTGTGTGTCTGTGTGTCTGTGTGTCTGTGTGTCTGTGTGTTGTGTGTCTGTGTGTCTGTGTGTCTGTGTGTCTGTGTGTCTGTGTGTCTGTGTGTCTGTGTGTCTGTGTGTCTGTGTGTCTGTGTGTCTGTGTGTCTGTGTGTCTGTGTGTCTGTGTGTCTGTGTGTCTGTGTGTCTGTGTGTATGTGGGTCTGTGTGTCTGTGTGTCTGTGTGTCTGTGTGTCTGTGTGTCTGTGTGTCTGTGTGTCTGTGTGTCTGTGTGTCTGTGTGTCTGTGTGTCTGTTTGTCTGTGTGTCTGTGTGTCTGTGTGTCAGTGTGTCTGTGTGTCTGTGTGTCTGTGTGTCTGTGTGTCTGTGTGTCTTTGTGTCTGTGTGTCTGTGTGTCTGTGTGTCTGTGGGTCTGTGTGTCTGTGTGTCTGTGTGTCTGTGTGTCTGTGTGTCTGTGTGTCTGTGTGTCTGTGTGTCTGTGTGTCTGTGTGTCTGTGTGTCTGTGTGTCTGTGTGTCTGTGTGTCTGTGTGTCTGTGTGTCTGTGTGTCTGTGTGTAGGTGTGTCTGTGTGTCTGTGTGTCTGTGTGTCTGTGTGTCTGTGTGTCTGTGTGTCTGTGTGTCTGTGTGTCTGTGTGTCTGTGTGTCTGTGTGTCTGTGTGTCTGTGTGTCTGTGTGTCTGTGTGTCTGTGTGTCTGTGTGTATTTGTGTCTGTGTGTCTGTGTGTCTGTGTGTCTGTGTGTCTGTGTGTCTGTGTGTCTGTGTGTCTGTGTGTCTGTGTGTCTGTGTGTCTGTGTGTCTGTGTGTCTGTTTGTCTGTGTTACTGTGTGTCTGTGTGTCTGTGTGTCTGTGTGTCTGTGTGTCTGTGTGTCTGTGTGTCTGTGTGTCTGTGTGTCTGTGTGTCTGTGTGTCTGTGTGTCTGTGTGTCTGTGTGTCTGTGTGTCTGTGTGTCTGTGTGTCTGTGTGTCTGTGTGTCTGTATGTCTGTGTGTTGGTGTGTTGGTGTGTTGGTGTGTTTGTGTGTTTGTGTGTTTGTGTGTTTGTGTGTTTGTGTGTTTGTGTGTTTGTGTGTTTGTGTGTTTGTGTGTGTGTGCTGCGTGTACCAATCCGGCACGAAGCAAGCAGCTGTCGCTTGATCCATGTTTCCCAACTCAGTGCAGTGAAATGACAAACCTGCCTTGCACTTCGGGCAGACATTGGCACCTAGGTCTGATGTGTCAGCAGCAAAGCTCCCCGAAACAGCCCCGGCCGAGTCCATCTGGAAGCTTCCCGTCTCTGCCACGCCTCTGTGCAAGAACCAAGAGCTACACTGCGCCCTGCGCCTGACTGATTCCAATAATTGCCTGAATTGAGTTTGGGGGGTTGGCCTGCGCGTCGGGCCAAATTCCTTGCATGCTTTGAATGAAAAGTGCCACAGCGCAAGTTAGAAAGCTTCAGTCCTGGCAGAGGTCTCCGTTGTGGCATCCATCCAGCACGCTGTTGCAGTCCTGTGAAATCACATGCAAGGTGCAGCGGGCATGCTCCCCCAGCTTCTTAGCTGTCTAGGGAAGCAACAGCAGCGAAACATGTTCAAACAGCTCACTGGTGGGGTAGTCATCGCTCATTCCTTGTATTTGCAGCCGTTTTGTATTTCTTTTTAGACGCAGGCAAGTCCTTTCAAGGTAGCCTCTTGACAAACATACAGTGCTGTGGATGGACCAAATTCTGCACTACTTTGAAACCATGGGACACCAGTGCTTACAGGGGAATTATCATTCCAAGGATTCTTCGGTGCAGGACAGTATGTCGAGAAATATGGCTGCTCAGGTCTTTCGCTTGACTGGTTTCAAACAGTTGCAAGTTGCAAGTGTACAAAGCGTCTTGCGTCTTTAAGCGTCTTTAAGCGTCCTTAAGCGTCTTTAAGCGTCATGAAGCGTCATGAAGCGTCATGAAGCATCCAAGCGCCAGGCGAATGGAACTCACTGCGCCCAGCTGCAAGCGGCGTGGGCCTCAAGCGTAGCGAAGCGCTGCGAAGCCATGAATCAAAGGGAGAACTCACACCGCTCTTCAGATATTCGGGCATTTTTATTTTCGATATTTTGATTCTTAGTATGAGCTTGAGTTCAAGCTGTTCAGATTCAAGAAGGGTTTTTGAATGTATTGTGCTTCAGCTTCAGGGGAGCGCGTGGCGTTCGGTGCGTTCGGTGCACCTCGCCAATCGATACTGCGCCTGGCCTGGAGCTGCTTGTGCCGAAGAGGTCGGAGTAGTTGCGCTCGCTACGGCGACGCTGGTCATTCCGTCGGTCCTGTCCAACGGTTCCCCGAAAACTCCTTGAAATATGATCAACAACATTCTTGAAGATCACGGCAGGAAAGCCAGCCTGCATGCAAATGCAACCACTTGCGCCATGTGGTTCATGAACATCGACAATCACAGCTCCTCCGAGACAAGCATGACGCCTTTGCCCTGGAACATGATTGCCTGGAGCAAAATGCGTCAAGAAGCGTATTCGGACACATGCAACACAACTCAAGCTCGCGCAAGTTCGGACAACACCCAGACTCACCTGTATTTCTCCGAGCACTACATGGCAGTGTTTCTATTACACACGCGCACCTTCCGCCGCGAGTCTGTGTCCGCGCTGGCACTTCTCTTCATGTCAGACCTTCGCACCAGGGCCCGCTTGCTTCTGCGCATTTCACAATGTAGCTCTCGCTCGCGTTCTTTTTAGCCCTGCAGCATACTCTGGCATGCCAACAACACAATTCAAGGAGCGCGCAAAGCAACGGATCTCACGAATTCCAGCACAACCGAGCATCGACCACAGCTGACCCCGGCGCATGCAACATACAAGCATCAGGCATACGAGACACAAACAACACAAAAACACAAATACGTTGAGTTTCTTACAAGTCGAGAGCTTTCCCATTCGATGCACCGAGCCAGCACTACAGCGGCTGCCTCAAAGCCTCCAAGTAGCGCTGCAACGCCGGCGGCAGTGGCATGGACACAGCAAGTGGCTTGCTGGAAAGGTCCCACAACTGCAAGCGCTGGCAGTGTAAGAACAGGCGATGGCCTCAAAGCGGCGCGAATGAGTCGTAGGTTCGGATACTGGATGCTTGAAGCATGGACTCCAAGACGCAAACCAATGCCGTCGCCTGAGCTTCAGCTGATCTAAGCTTGTGGCATTGCACTGGCGACGACAGATTGCCTAGCGCAGTCATTTGGTTCAAGAGATTTCTCGACGAGACACACATTCCGGAGCAAAGCAACCAACGCTTGGAAGTGAGGCACCGTAGATCACATCTCCCACAATGGGGCGGGAGATGCTGGCGAGGTGCGCGCGGATCTGGTGCATTCGACCTGCACAGAGCCCGGCGCGCTCTAATCACCTCAAACCTTTGGCCTGTGCGTGGTTGCACAGAGAGCAGCATCAGCTCAGAGCCGGCACCTATGGTCCAGCAAAAGAGGCTTTTGGGGGGCCGTGACACGCTGGTGATAGTGGTACATTTGGTGCAACTTTTTGCAAGCGATGGGCACGCACCTCTAAACCTCTCCTTCACCTCGTACTCTGTGATTGCCTCTCGGCCAAATGGTGCCACCACTGTCCTGACAATGTGCTTTGCTTTGTGGTTTCCAGATTTCGCTCCAAGTTACTCCTTCCCTTCTTGGCTTCAGCGAAACAAAATGAAACGCACTGTTCTCTCCGTCCTTCCGACTTCGCCAGCCCAGTTCCAAGCATGCAGCGGTGTGTCTATGCAACCGCAAGTGCCTGACAGACTGTGTGTGTCTGTCGACATGAACAAGCTCCCTGCCTACAGGCCCCAGTGGTGAGCCCTCGCAAAGGCATGCCTGGGCTTGGCGGCTCGAAAAAGATGCCGAGGCACACATGTTCACTCAGTTCATCCACTGAAGCAACTCTGCAAGACTACAGCTTGACAGAGCACCCGCTTAAAGACTCCATCAGCAAGGCGCATATTCCTTGTGCACTAGGCGGCCTGCAAACTGCGCCTTGCCAAAGGTCGTAACGTCCCAAAGCAGCCAGGTCATTTCACACTTGCCAAACAGCAACAAGCAGCCGGAAGCGCACAGTAATACAGAGGCGAGGGCAAGCCTTGGGGCAACGCAAAAGGGAGAGCGCAATGCATTGGGCTGATTAGCGGCATTCTGTCCTCCAAACATCAAGGGATTACAAGCTTGCGCAAACATTCTGAATGGCGTCTAATCAGCAAAAAAAAGGACTCTGTAGCGGCGCGAATTTCTGATCTAAAAAGGGCTGTACGTGCTGTGCATACATGATTGCAGCCCCCTTGGACGGGGACAAGACGCAGGCGTTGGGGCGTTGACCCATTTCCCTCACGCCAAGGCTTGTGCCCCCCTGCTCCAGCATCTTTGAACTTCATCTCTTCCTGCAAGGTCTTCGGCTGGCTCCTTGTCACACAAAACCACTTGCCTATCTTGATGCTGCTGATCACCACCACGTAGATGAAGGTAATGCTACGCTGATTGTATGTCTTGCTCCTCCTTGTTGGCCTTTGCTCCAGGAATGCTCTGCAGACCACACACTCTGCTGCCATGGTCGTCATGAGGTTGACCATGTTCACCATGTTGATGCTCCCAACGATCTCGTTGGTCTTCTCCTCCCCACGCAAATGCATGGGGATGATTCCGAGACTTTCGCGTAGCTTTGTGAACTTCGCGCCCGCTAAAGCTTTGGCGCCTATGTCTGCCAGGTTCTCCATGTGGGTCGTGTGAATGGTGAAGCTCTTCTCCTTGAGGTCTGAACCCACAAGCTCTTCGCCTCTATTGCCACTCCCTGGCGTTGAAATATTCCTAGAGCTGCTGACCTGTCCATCCACACCCTCACTTGCACAGGGTGTCCCATGAACTCCAAGATCTGCTTGTAGAAGAGAGCCTCGCTACCCCCATTCAACTCAGCCTCACCACTGTTGAAGCAAATCATGTTGAGACTTCTGCTGTAGCACGCAATGCCCCCACCTGGAAGATTGCTGAAGCCACTGACTTCCTCGTCCTCTGACAGGCTGCCCAGTCAGTGCTGCTGTAGACATCCAGGAGTCACGTACATCAAGATCCCCACGCAGCCTCTGAAGATAGAAGCGTCCTTGTCTGTGATGTTGTTGGTGTTCACTGCTACAGTACTGCTGGCGTCTTGGCTGGTCTGCAGCCGATCTGGACGAATGCAGATGCCCTCCTTGGTGTACGTCCTGACCTTCTTGAGATGGCTGTATGTATCTCCCAACCTGTGAATCTGGTACTTCATCACAGCCTTCTTGTTGATCCTCTCCAGGAACTGTTGAACCGTCTTGTCTGGGCCTGCGCCATAGACATCGTCCATATGCACCTCTTAGAAAATGCCCTTTGCCGCATTCCTGAAGAACCTGGGCTACCTCACATCTTTCGAACTTCTCCTCTTGAGGATGTCGGCATAGTGCTCCACCCATTCTGTTGGCGCAACAGGCCGACCATACCGTTCCTTCTTGAATCACCTTTCTCCCATGCAGCTCATCCTTCTTCGACTCCAACCATTCCTTCGGTGGAATCATGTAGCACTCCTCCTTGATGGGAACTTGCCAAGACGCATTGGTGGCGTCTGCTGTGAAGAAAACGTAGCCCGACAATCCACTCCTCATCATTTGGGTCATAGGCGCAGGATCATCTTCCACTGGTGTGAAGAGAGCGTCTCCAATCCTCTCGCTCATAGATTGGCACGCCGAAGTTGGCATCGTATCCACCACGCGCTCATCTGTTCCAGAGTCATACATCACGTACTGGCACTTCTCAAGATGCCCTGAAGTTCACTTCCTCTGTACACCGGACATCTCCACAGATTCTCTGCTCGTTGTCTTCCACGTCTGCCCATTGAGCAAGTCGAGGAGCGTTGCCCTTGTTGATGTTCATCACCCATCCAGCCTTAGTATCTCCCTCGTAGTCCTCAATCGTGTCATCCACGAGGTTGTTGCTGAACTCGCTGCAGGTGCTGTAGAGCCTCCAGCAGCTCTGCTTGGAGTCATACTCTCGCTTGCGGCATTCTGCCTGTGACCATACTTGCCACAATCCACACTCACCATCAAACTTCTTGCTGACGCCTTTGTCCTTGCTCTTCTTGCCAGATTTGAACTTGTCCTTGAAGTCCTTCCCGGATTTGTCCTTACACTTGTTCTTGTCCTTTCCTTTGGACTTGCCCTGCTGGAATCCAACTGCTCCAGCTGGGCGAGGCTTCATCACGACAGCACACTTCACTGAAGATGAGACTTCTTAATGCTGGCAAACCGGCCACCAGCCTTGGGTTCGTAGGTGTCCACCAGCATCTTCCATGCCTGAAGTCCATTGCCAACCTCAGCATTCATCATCACTGACAAAGCCTTGCCCTCCAGTGACTGCGTGAGGATGTTGAAGAGGGTCCCGTCCAGCTCGATCTCTCCAGCTGTGGCTACTGCCTCTGCTGATTGCAGAACCATGCTCAGGAGGTGAATGCCCAGGTCACCCAGTCCTCATCCCAACCGTTGAAGGTCCTGAGTCGTCCATAGGCCTTGGGGTCGACCATGTGCACGCCCAGTTTTGAAGGGTCTTACAGCAGCCGCCCGGAGGTCTTATGCTTGGGGCCACCTCAATGAGGATTTACTAGCGCCCTTGGCCACGGTGCCACCCCTGAGGGCTTTATGCAACCGGGCTCCGCTACCATGTAGCGGCGCGCAAGGGCTGTACGTGCCGTATATACATGATTGCAGAAACAGCAAACCAATTCCGTGGAACTCACAGCTCTTTCGTACAATAGGTCGGACTTCCCCTTCACACGCCTGCAGCCAGTTCATGGCGTGAAGGCCCCTGGCCAGTGGCAGCAGCCCGGAAGTGGGTCGATCCAGGCGGGAAACCACGAAGAGCTCCTGCGAGAAATTGCTTTCACAGGTCTCAAATGCGGTTTCCTGAAAAGACTGAGCACACGTGCGAAATCTCCAAGCTGTGAGATTGTGCCGTATTGTATGTGTTTTTTCTCCTTCCAGGAAGGGCGAAAGTTCTGTCAAATTCCGGACATCTTGGTCTTGCTCTATTGACACGAGCGATCTGGCAGCGACAAGCTTCGCCGATGGTTCTGAACACATGAGAGAAGACCCAACCCTGATAACACTTGAGCTCAAAGCAAGAAGGACTAGCTATTGCATCGCTTTGCTACGCATCCAAAAAAGACAGCATCAGTAGTGTGTGCTTCGCATTGCGACTTTGATACAATTCTCACGCTCTCCTGTCGCATCAGCTTTCGAGCGGCATTCACCAGCACTTCCTAAGTTCTCTTAAGTCTCAAATGTTTGCCTCAGAAGTGCTTTCTCCAGCCGTGTGTCTGTCCTTACGTCTGACTCCTTTGCTATGACAACTAGCCCTGGTGCTTCAGCAAGAATCTGCACGCCTGCAGGTTGCACCGAACAGCTCGTGGCTGACTGATCTCTCGCGCCTGGCAAGAGGTCGCCAGTGTCCAAGTTGACTGCCTTTGGTGGCGAAGCTCCCTCCCACTGCCATCTTGATCTTGTGAGAAACTCCACCTGAACACACGGCTGCGTTTGTGCAAAAGGGATACTGATATTACAACGGAAGAAGCTGAGCTGCTGCTGCTTCCTCACCATGCGCTTTCCGGATGCCACTGGCCACAGCGCCAGCAAACATACCTGCAGAAGAACAAACTAGAAGAACAAACTGCTTGCTGCCGCCTATCCAGAACACTATACATGCTTGAGTCATGGCACCACAAGGTGCCCACTAGCATCCGTCAATGTCCACAACAAGAAAATGACAATACTCTCGCATCTCCACACCAGCCAACAAAGCAGATCGCTGCAACTGGAAAGGGCCGCAGGGGCTACAAGGGCGGCAAGGCCCTTCATGCCCTTGGATGGCAATGGCATCCCGATGCATCCCGATTCCGGCCTGACAAAGGGCAGCGGGCACGTGCTGCTGTGTCCAGCAGCGCCAGCGCAGCCACCCAGGCGCCGCCACGCTCCGCGGCGCTCAGTGCAGCGCTGAAGGCGCAGCTCAGGTCAAAGACGCCACGGCTCGCGCCCCTCGAGCGGATGTCGCTTTGAACTTCAAGCGCAAAATCACCGAATGATCAAAGTCTTCAACTCGATACTTCAAGAATGCAACTCAACATTTCGACGTCGCATCCGGAACATCTGACACAGGCTCAATTGCTGCAAATATCTCTCCCTTTTATGGCACGGCGCAATGTTGGCTTCAACAGTACAAGAGCTGCCTCCCACTGACCGGCCTGCCAGCAAATGAGCAGGTGTCTTCAAATCTTTAGCATGCCGCGAGTCAGTGCCTCAAGACACTGGGTTGGCTGGCAGGTCTCTGACCCAGCCTTCTCACACGCACTCATCGCTGCACTCAATGCTACGGCATCCGCATGGAACCTCCTGGCAAAATCAAAGCTCGCGCTTGAATGCGAGCTCGCCAGGCTAACCAACTGTCCACGGTTCCAAAGAACAAAACATGGGTAGCACGCGAGCTGAAAACAAATTCCAAGCTCCTGTGGCACATGTGCTGGAGATGCTCGCTGGCCAAATGCCATTGCATCCCCTTTTCGCAGGCGCTGATGGAAGAGCCAAAGCTGATAATTTCCTTGAAGTCAAGCCAAAACGGCGCATGGCTCCTCTACATGAATTGCTGCAAAGAGGCAGGCATGACTCGTGCTGTTTCCATGAACGATAGCGATGAAAGGCAACGCTTCCACTCGTAGCCCTTCTCACCTCAGCTGGAGCTGATTGCCAAGTGATTCGTCAGCAAAGCTTTCTGTCGCAATTGTGTTTCAACATTCGTGTTAGAATTCTCATCTGCTTAAGGCGGCAGCAGGCTGCCAGGGCAGAGTTGAAGCTGATAAGGTTGACTTGCAATGCATTCTGGGTCCTGTTTGCAGTCGCCAACCCCCATCATGAGCACACACACACAAACGCCAAAAAGAAACATGCAACACACTTTTCCTGCATTGCATGGATGATCTGCTCCCCCTCCCCCACTCGCTCTCTCTTTCTCTTTGAAAAGCTGCTCTTGGTCTGCGGCATCTTTCGCACAGCGGCCAAAGCTTGCTGCCATCGTCTTGCGCCAGCGCAAGCATCCGCGTGGGTGTTGCAGGCAACAATGTTCCTCATGGCACCACGTGAGCGCTCAAAACCTTTGCTTTCGGTTCTTCATGGTCTACTGACGTTGTGAAGCTCTCACCATTCTCCCTGATGCCAGCATGCAGGTGCGCCCCGCATCCCCTCAGCATAGTTCTCAGGGTTCGTGGAACGCCCGACCACAGAAGCCGGCGGTTGGTTTGCCAGTTGGTTGGTTGGGTCGGTGGGTGGGTGACTGGCTGGTTGGGTTGGGTGGGGCCAGGTTGGGTTGAGTTGGTTGGCTCAAGCACTCCAGAAAGCGACAAATGTGCCATGTTGGCAACTGTATTGAACCTAGCTTTGCTGGGAGATGCTAAACATGCTCAACCAAGCTGCCCAGCGTGACGGGCACAAGCCCCACGAAGCCTGACCCTGATATCTCGCATTACTGTTTTGCCTGAGCGTTATCAAATCAGCAAAGAAACCTGGAGTGATTGTGAGAGTCACCGCGCTCTCGCGAACAGCTTCAAGGATCTTTTGCAGTGCGCGTTTCAAGCCAGGCACCCAGCACACACACACACACTCACACTCTGATGCAGCTCAGATGCAAAGTGATGTTGCAAAGGGACATGCCTCAGCGGGCAAAAATGCTACGTAGCGCAAGGGTCTCGAGGGTATTTCACTGAACAAAAAGCCCTCGCCCAACACCAAATTGCAGCTGACAGTCAATATAGTTGCCACATTCTGTATATAGTGTGTGGCTGGCTTCCTGTCGCTTCTGTATTCAACCAGTTGACTGTAGCGCACCTAGACTTTGCAAGGGATGTGTTATGTGGCATCGGAATCATGGACGTGAGTCCAAGCCTCCCCGGGCCAGGAGAGGCCTCCGCTACGCTTGTATGTTGCCAAAACCTAAAATTTACTTTTATTCATTATGTTTGCGGTTGGGTCGTAGCTGACCGTTTATGACCTGTACTGATGAACAAAGGCAGCTGTACTTTGTCGGTCATGCAGCTAATGCAGTAGTTGTGCCCGCGCCCCAAGCGTACCCATTGCCATTGTTGGTTCATCCGCTTATAAATCAGTCCTGCCGTTCTGGCTCTCTTGATTCCATTTAGGAGGGGCGTGGGTTGCCTTGAACTTGTCCTTCCGTCTTCTCACGCTATTCCGGTTGCTCCTATTCACCTGTGGAAGCTGTACTCAATCTCCTTGTCCTTGTTGCCCCACGAGAACTGGCAGGCGCCACTCTTGAGACATGCCGATGCCGTAGTCCGGCTTTCCCCACATCGTGTCTGCAAGTGTTTCAATAAGCACACGCACACACAGACACACACACACACAGACACACACAGACACACACACACACAGACCGAGACACGGACACAGACACAGACACAGACACACAGACAGACAGAGACACAAACAGAGACAGAGACAAAGACAGACGCAGAGACACACAGAGAGACACACACAGAGACACGCACAGAGAGACACACACAGAGACGCACACACAGAGACACACACAGAGACACACACAGAGACACACACACACACACAGAGACACACACAGAGACACACACAGACACACACACAGAGACACACACAGAGACACACACACAGAGACACACACAGACACACACACAGGCACACACACAGACACACACACAGACACACACAGAGACACCCACACAGAGACACACACACAGAGACACACACACAGAGACACACTCACAGACACACACACAGAGACACACACAGAGACACACACAGAGACACGCACAGAGACACACACACAGACACACACACACAGACACACACAGAGACACACACAGAGACACACACAGAGACACACACAGAGACACACAGAGACACACACACAGAGACACACACAGAGACACACACTCAGACACACACACACACAGACACACACACACAAAGACACACACAGAGACACACACAGAGACACACACACAGAGACACACACAGAGACACACACAGAGACACACACAGAGACACACACAGAGACACACACAGAGACACACACAGAGACACACACAGAGACACACACAGAGACACACGCAGAGACACACACAGAGACACACACAGAGACACACACAGAGACACACACAGAGACACACACGGAGACACACACAGAGACACACACAGAGACACACACAGAGACACACACAGAGACACACACAGAGACACACACAGAGACACACACAGAGACACACACAGAGACACACACAGAGACACACACAGAGACACACACAGAGACACACATAGAGACACACACAGAGACACACACAGAGACACACACAGAGACACACACAGAGACACACACAGAGACACACACAGAGACACACACAGAGACACACACAGAGACACACACAGAGACACACACAGAGACACAAACAGAGACACACACAGAGACACACACAGAGACACACACAGAGACACACACAGAGACACACACAGAGACACACACAGAGACACACACAGAGACACACACAGAGACACACACACAGAGACACACACAGAGACACACACAGAAACACACACAGAGACACACACAGAGACACACACAGAGACACACACAGAGACACACACAGAGACACACACAGAGACACCCACAGAGACACACACAGAGACACACACAGAGACACACACAGAGACACACACAGAGACACACACAGAGACACACACAGAGTCACACACAGAGACACACACAGAGTCACACACAGAGACACACACAGAGACACACACAGAGACACACACAGAGACACACACAGAGACACACACAGAGACACACACAGAGACACACACAGAGACACACACAGAGACACACACAGAGACACACACAGAGACACACACAGAGACCCACACAGAGACCCACACACAGACACACACAGACACACACAGACACACACAGACACACACAGACACACACAGACACACACAGACCCACACAGACACACACAGACACACACAGACACACACAGACACACACAGACCCACACAGACACACACAGACACACACAGACACACACAGACACACACAGACA